GTACAGAGGCCCAGCGCACACACAGACACACACACAAACACACACACAGACACACACACACACAGAGACAATCTCTCGTCAATATGCGTTTTTTGCATTGCATTGCTGCAAAAAACGCATAACAAGTACGGCCCCGTGAAAATTTTTGACGGGTAAATTGTTATTTCGGGAATCACAGAGCCTAGGAAGCTGAAATTTTACAGTAATGACCCCCTGCCCATGCTTAACCTTGCCTATTCAAATCCAGCGTCCCCGCGCTCTCGGGTATTACCTTCGGACTCGTGAAAGTTTTGGCGGGTAAATTATTAACTCGGGGACCACGGGAAGATATTCAGCTTTCAAGGTTTCGAATTCAGTTTTCATGCGCAGGTGCGTGAAATTTCTAACTATTTTTCAATGTTTCAACTATTTTTGCATAGACTAAAGTACAAAGCAGTGAAAATCATTGATAGGCAATCGTTCGACGGGCTGAATTACACAAAACGCATGATCGCACCGGCTAGTCTGATGTGCGTTGCTATTTATTCACCTCAATTCGATGCACTGCAGGACAACCCATCTTCATACAGAATTGGAATCTTCTAATTCTGCAAAATTCTCACTTAATGCTCTCAAGAATTCGATCAAATTTATTACCGAATCACAAAAAACTCACCGTAATCAAATGTTAGAGCTGCTTCCGTCTCTTTTGCTACAGCCGACATTGATTCATTCTAAAATAAAAACTTCTAAATTATGAAAGTCAGAAGTACGGCGAACGGACTGCAACACATCACTTGTCTGTTACATTGTATGCAGCAAAGTAGCACAGCTGGGGAAGGTGTGCAGAAGGAAGGAAATGAAGATGGAAGAGAAAGCAGGTCTCTGGATAAATTTGCACTTTTTTTGCAAATTTTATTTTGTAATTAAAATGTATAAAATAAAAACAAAAAGGTGACAAAAATGATGGAAAAAAAGTGAAAATTCTCAGGTTTCCGTATGTAAACCGTTTAGAAATCTATCAATTCAGTGTCATTGTGAACAACAACATTACAGAATTTTAGAGGTATATAGAAAGAGAAGTCAAGCTGCGTTTTAACAACGAAATTCATGCAACCCCATAGCAATACAGTGCCCCAATAACGCAAATTAACGTTGGATTATGCAGAGAACAGCTCAGTTTTTTTTTTTTTTTTTTACGAAAAAATACATGTAACTAAAAAACCTGAATTATCCACGTGCCATATTTTAATAAAAATTTCGCGTTTTTATGTTTAAATTAACCTAAGGCAGCTCGTAAGTTGAATTTTAAGGAATTTTTGCAGTCTGTTCAAGACTTCATCAACTCTAGAAACACTAGTTTACGACTTCGCCCGTTTTCATAGTGTGAATGGTTGAAATATG